GTTCATGCGATGCGAAGCTGATAGGAGACGAGATAGTTCATGAACTGGTCCGTACGAAAGTCCTAAATAATCATAGTCGGAATTTACGTTGACTCCCCATGTAATTGTAAAACTTACTCGACCTGAACCACGTTGCTTCATTTGACGTCACACCTTTTGTTGTTTAACCAAAAAATTTTTTACAGCGGCTGAAAAAATTCGTCCAAACTGCATTGCTTTAACCATAAAAAAACGCTGACATGTGGACGAAAAATGGAATCTGATGTAGGAAAGCTCAAAACCGCAGATATTCCAAGAAACTTCCGTTTAATTTGCATTTCACCATCTTGCCTTGTTTTGGAGGAGTCCTCATTGAAAACGAGACGCTTGCGAAGCCTCTTTCGTGTTTCATAGATGGTTTGCATCCGACATGACAGTTGGATGACAACAAACACGATAACATCTTGTCATTTTGTGTGTCATCGTCCTAGAAAGCGTCCCTATAATCATGAAATATTCCAGAAATAGTGATAACGGAGCAAGGTCCACGGTGGCGCTGTGGTAGAGCACTCGCCCCGCAACATCGGTGAGACGTTGGCTCAACTCCTACCACGACGACACTACTATGGAAACAGTAAAGTTTTGCTTTTAGTTTGTGTTCACCTAGTCTCAAAATCGTGATTACTTTTTGATTTTTTATGCTTCCCGCGAAGAGAATTTGACTCGAACGACAATGAAGACGATGATTCACAGCGAGGACGAACGACCGTGGACTACTGACTCGAATCACAGTTTCTTAAGAGACGAAGACGTTTAAATGGGCGATTAAAAGTATCAATACCAACTTTGTGTAATCTTAATTCTGTATTCTGTAGAAATTTTTTATAATTTTGTATCAATCAATCCACTTTAGCTATGAAAACTGAGTAGATTACATGCATTTAAATTTTCAAAGCATTAAAGAAAGAGATACCTGAAAACCTTCAGCCATTAATATTGATATATATCGTATTCAACAAATTTCCATTGCTAGCAACCTCGTGTCTGCTCATCAAAAAAACACGGAATACTTGCTAATTGTCGAGGTGGTCGACAGTCAGTTTGGGGAAATTGGAACTTTATTAATGTTACTGATCCTTGAAAGTGACCATAGGCAGAATTATCTATCAAAGAGTGATGCGATCCATCATAATTGTAGCACCACCCGTCTGGAGGTAGATTTTTTTCGTGATATTCGTGGCTCACCCGTAGTGTTCCCAGTTCAACGCTTCTCTGCAGTTCATCAAGGTAGTGTTCTTATGCTATAATTCCTCCCGCCTTCAACATGACAATATGTGATTATCAAAGTAGAAATTTTCGCGCACGACTTATTTTGGAAAAACACTCTACGGTCTCAAATTGAAGAAAACATGAGTACAGTGCAATCATGCTATTACTTGATGAAAACGGAGACCACGTGATGGCATAAGAATGAGTGCCTCCGGAATTAGACGAACTCTTGAAAAACATTTACACGTCCTGCTGACTGTGGAAGCGCTTTCCGTCAAAGAAATTGTCGATGTGCTTGAAAAAGTGGTAGTCGGTAGACACGAGACCTGAAGACTATGAAGGATGAGGCAAATTTCATAGCCCAGTTCGCTCAACTTTTGGAGCGTTCGTAGTGCCACATATGATTATCGGCCGGCTGTAATCAAGCCGTCATTACTTTTGATCAACCTTTTCACCCTCTCAGTCTACTCCAAACAGTAAACGTCCGCAGATTAGTCGATACTGAGTCTCTTTCCAGCATCTCGTGTAATCTTAAGAGGATCAACTTTGATGACTACTTTTAATAGGTCGTTGTCAATTTCCTATGGTCTATTGCTATGTTCCCCACGTTCGAGGCTCTCGTCTCTTTTACGAAACTTCGTGAACCATCGTTGCACTAAACATTCATTAGCAAGGTCTAGACCATCCGAAGAAGATGTTGCACGTTGTCTGTGCTGTTTGTGAATGTGGCAAAGGTTTGTAGCCGATGCACTAAATTATATGTGGACGTACAGTGGATTCGTGCTGTAATGTGAAGGTTCAGTGATTCATATGAGTTATAACAAACAATTGGATGAAAACAAACAATGGTGCGGTACCAAACAATGTGGTAGAACCAAACGACCTATAATATACATGTATTACTAATAATAATAAATAATAATAATATATACATGATGGTGACATATCGTAATGTGAACATATGCCTATGTCAATGTGGGTGACCGATTAATGAGAAGTATCGTTATCTGACGATGCTATTAATATTACTATGACTGACGGTGTTATTGTGACTGACGGAGCATGACTCCGTTTGGGTTGTTATGCTCGCCCCAGAATAACAAGCCAACAGTGGGATGCAGTGGGTGAATTTCGCTCCGCCACGGAAGCGCTATGTTCCGCTCACAATTCTATTGGGTTCATCTGTCAGCTGTATGAACTCAACCTTATGATAGCAATTAGATTCACGACAAGGAGACTGTCTGAAGAGAACAATAATGGATCGATTGCGATTTGAGGTGAGGTGGTCCGGATGAAGTCAGACGACCGTTCGGATGATGCTCCGTGAGCGAACTGACTGTTGAGGTTGGTGGCAGTTGTGTCCCACTTGGACCATTTCCTGTCTAAGGTCCTCGAACTTCTGCGAAACCATTTGCCGTCTAAGGTCATGGACCATCTGAGTTGCCTAAATTATCATGTAATTCCGAAAAAGATAGCCAAGCTCCGTTGGGAGTTTTGCTATAGTGATCCATTTTAAGCTTATGATTAGAAGCCGCTGCTAATTGTGCATCAACCAACGTCTTTTCCATAGTCGAAAATAGGTATAAAATTAACTGCAAAACGCAATTGGAAGCAAAGCATAGTGCGAGATTTGCATTGCAGTAATATATAACATCACGGCATTTATTGGAGGACTCATTTCAATATCAAACGGCAAATATCAACAATGCATAAATCGCCATTACTTTTGCACCAATCTAATAATATGCGATCTATCTCGATCTAACTCTATAAGCATAAAAAATATCTTACGTAGGACATATAAGTCTTCATTTTTATCGAGTTTGGCAAATAGCTAATAAGCTAGCCTTGGGTAACTATAAGCTCAAGCTTACTCATCAGCTCAATAAGCTAATAAAATTAGAGCTCGGCAAGAAATTTCGTTTGCTTTAACGTTTGCGATTGTAACGGAACGTTATCGAAACAAACAGTGTAAACAATCTCACAAAATGTTTCTTTTCAAGAAGGCTTTCCGAGATTGGCTTTCCGAGGTTGGTAAATTTTCTTTGAAACCATCAATTCCTCTGCGCCTTGAAGCAGCATCCGGGAGGCAGAAATTTTGAAGACTACAACCAGCTCAAAAGTCACCTCACCAACTCTATTAATCGCCAGCCTCATGCTTTCTGAGAGGAATGCATTCAGTCTTTGCCAAACAAATGCGGAAAATCTTTCAGACTTTCTAGGTATATTTCAGGAACACAAGAATGAGAAGAAGTGGGAATGTCTAAATTTGACGAATGATAAGACACCTTATCTCCGATCTATTTTTTATTTTGAAGAAGCTCATTTTTCATAGCATGTGACAATACACCGAAGACCTTTCCTATATAAGTAGCCAGACGGTGAATTTCTTATAACAGGTAAACATTTTAACTGATTTTTACATTATGTTGCTTTTAGATATAGGCCATATTGACAGAATAATTGAGTATGGTATGATACGTCAAAGCTTCGAAGGGATCAAACTCTTCGAAACGGTAGCCATCGAATTTGAAGAAGATAAGCCAGCCTAGGAGAAGCTTTTTGAAAAAACACAGCCCGTGAGGTAGTTTATACTTTGCACGCCGACGTTAATGTAACAGCTGATATTTTGATCTCACGGCAAATTCCTGTATGTGAATTTCTAATAACAGTGGCATCAATCATTTCAAAGAGCTTCCACAGTTGCACATACAAAACTGCTTGGTTGAAATGGAAGCAATTTAGTTAACTACTCCTGATGGCGCCATTCCATCACTTTTTCTAGGTTTCGGCTTTGTGACCATACTAGAACGTTAACAGCAAAACTTTGTTTAGTAAACCCTCGTGGGCAAGGCAAAATTACCTGATCGTTTCGCTAGATGGCGTAGTTTATGCTTAGAACTAGGGCGGTATCTACTTGTTTTTAAACTTGTGACTTTCTTTCTTGATCAATGAAGCGTCCTCCCACGCTTTGAAAGTTTCATCTCTTGCGCAAAAGTACGAATGTCTTCAAATTGTCCTTCTGAACCATTATTTCAATTTCTGAGCCAATAAGTAGAACCAAAGTTTTCCTTAACTAATCGATGGTTGACCATTCAAGCAAACGCTTGTTTCGGGCACGCTATTCAGTAAAGCAAGCTTGCTAACCACTTTAAATCGACAAATTCAAGAGAAAACTGTTCTAAATTGCACTAATAATAATTCACACTTGTTTTAAAATTGATTAGTGTTATGTATCTTACACTAACGTGATTTGGAGATTGTTGAGAATGACAGTGGGCTGAGTGTGATGCAAATGAAAAATGTTAGCTGTATGCAGCTCCATAACATTTTTGATTACGGTGTTTTAGATTCGCTTCAAATATGGCAAAATTCTCGAGTATGTACTATTGTTCCTGTGTTAGTTCTGTGTGGCATTTTTAACTCTCTACTAACGATGAGGGTCGTTTTTGACTTTCAATATTTCATGAACCTTTTCGCTGAACCCTATTTAATAGAACTTTAGAGTTACTCGAAAGCTCAAATCTCGGCGAGTGCAACTCTTTATTTGGTTTCTAATAAAAACCTTTGTGATTCTCCGAAACAGAGAGAATAATATTATGTTCCAACTCGGAGTACCTTATGGCACGACTAGTGTCTTGGATGGCCCTACATTAGACTATGTTAACACTAATTCGGCAACACAAATCTCAGAGATTTTGAAGCTAAATTTTGTGTATACCCAAGAGAACCGAGTGGTGAGCAAAAAACACGGTCTCAGGCGGAAATCGAACCCGCGTTTCATTCATTCCGGGGACGCGCGCTACCACTAAACCACTGAGGCACATTTGCGCCATCGCTCCTTCTTTATGATCTCAATGTTAGCTATCAGCCACCAGCCTTTAACAGGTTTGGTCGGGTATGCGATTCCGCTTTATAAACCCAGTTGAGCTGACAGCCATTGTGATAAGTTATACTCCAAATTTCTAGTGTCTTTACTGCAATTTTCGCGATGTTATGATGTTATATATAATCGTAAGAGAAACGAATGAAGCACGGGTTTGATTCCTGCATGAGTCCGTGTTTTTACTCACCACTCAATTCTCGTAGGTACATATGTAATATCATAACACTGCGAAAAATGCAGTAAAAACACTAGAAATTTGTAGTATTGCTAAAGTTTGTTCCCAAAAAGATATTTATATTTGGTCGAATGAGTAAAAATAAGTTTACGCTTTACATTTGGAGTTTTCTTCAGAGATATGAGTCATATATGCAGTAAAAGTTTATGAGCGTTTAGAGAAAATTATGGAGTATCAGTATTCTGCAAGAAACCTGGATTTTTTTTGAGACAAACAAGAAAATCCTACCTACATAACGAAAATCACGGCGCGTGCGATATCGATTATGCTGCCATCCGGACAGGCTTGAAGCGTACGATATGCAGTGTTTAAGCATTTTCGAGAAGCACACACGACGCCGTTCCATTAGCAACGAATACACCATCGCCACAATGACCGGCTGTGGACAGTCGACTTAGATCAACGAGGCACCGAAAAAGGAGGAAGAACCGAATAAAACATCTTCATCAGCCTTGTATTTGCTAAATAATACAAAAAATTATCGATCACTGTATCGCGTTCAATGAAAGTCAGTCGAAGAATTATTGCGCATAAAAGAAAGCGCAAATAAAGAGCACAATTGGTCTGACGATAACATCGGCATCACGACAATTTTACTACAATATATAATGGAGCGCATGTGGCGCAGCGGTTATAGGTGCTCTGCGTCGTACACGAGGTAATTGGTTCGATCTTGCGCTCATGCCTCACCAGGTCATCCATCCCTTCGGGGTGTGAATTAGTACTAGACTGGCCTCAGACTTGTGTGGGAGGATAAGCAGCACTGACTCGGTTCAGCGGGAGGCCACCGCGAGTCATTGTAAAGGCCAGATATGCATTCAATCACCTCAGACGAATTTAAAAATTGAAGGCGAATGCATGGCGCATCCCTTAGGGATCGACCAACGCCGAGAGCTTTACCCTTTATCGTTTTGTATAATGATTCTATTCATCACGCATTTGCTTATCCACGATACAGACTATTTGCTACGACGTTCCTTCGCTTCACTCCAATGGCATGTTGTATTGCTTCATGTCCTAAGGCGACAAGCGTGATCAGGGTCGGCTATTGACTTACATGCTTTCGGAATTGTTTGTTTATTGTATCTACAATACTTACGGATAACTATGCCGACTACGGAATTACTTCTGAGAAAATGAAGACTTTTCTTCGGCTTCCAGTGGTTTACCAGATAGAAGAAACAGTGCAATTTTGAGGCCAAGTAAATATAATAGTTCCTTGAAAAAATGGAAGAACTTATTAGAAAAAAGGTATGTTCTTATCTAAATGATACTCCATGAAACTCATTTCTAAAATGCTCATCTGCGAAGAGTTTTGAAAAACGGCGTGTAATGTTATTCTAAAGTAATCCCTGTGCCCTAAGTAGGAATCTGTGCGCCGTATTGATATGAGGACGAGGATTAGTTTGCTCTGCCAGTCGACTCGCATTCGTTTCGTAGTGCCCAGTCAAAACTAATGTCTGACCCGTGCATGATTCTATGCATATTTTTTCAACTTATACTTTGTTCCAAAATTCTATCTCAGTCATTTCCAGAGCAAACTCTCAACATAACGACCAAACGTAAGTGATTCTTCATCATTTCACCTACTAGAAAATTGCTTAAGAAATTTGCCCACAAAAGCGTTTGATCTCCATTGTTCATTGTCTGAATCACAATAGGACCGACAAGTAATGAGGTTGGTGTATTCCAGAACAGGGAAGAGTGTGGGACGTGGTGATTGCAACGTGTGATGAGGCAGGAGCTGGTACTGATGCGTCCGTCTATCTCAAGGTTGCACTTAAAATTACAATACTGAATTACAATACCATTATAGATAAACTGAAGCTATTAAAAAATAACGCTCGAATAAATAGATTAATCAATCTAACCACGTATTCTTATGTTTACTCACTAATCCTCATGAGTTTCAGTATCTAAAAATACATGTCGTTAACTCACTACCAATAGTTTTATCAGGTTGAGTGAAAAGATCCGAGAAATTTTTAAAAATCTCGTTTTTTTGACATCTTCGTATCGTTGTTATTGACAGTTCCATACATATTTATTTAGTTCATTGATTTCAGCTCCAAATTTTCTATTGAACAGCGTGACTTGTTCGTGTTGATTCGCCATTATTGGAGATAACGTTTAACGATTCTTAGAGCCGTCGATGAGATAAATGATGAAGGTGCTAGTACGGCAACAAAATAGACTGTCGACAAATGATTTAAGCGATTTAAAGAAGACAATTTTGATCTCGAAGACATGCCTCCTTCTGGCCAGCCACCTGTTTTGGATTAACTTTAATCGGTTAAGTGGTTTGCAAGCCTTGTTTTCGGTGGTGAGCCTTCATCGAGCACTCATGATTTGGCTGAAAGGCTCAGTTTTCGCAGCGGACCGTTTTTCAATAAGTTTCACCAATTTCAATTTGTCCATAAGAAGCTTCGCCAGGACACGCTTAAGCTTTATCCGATTATGGCCTTTTTTGACCATTGCAACACTTTTTGAATGGGCCGCCAATTTGAACTGTTCGATGATGTTGAAGAACCGTGTCAAGATTTTCTCTATTCAGAAGAGACAGAGTGGTACTTTGAGCAGATCCGGATTAGTACAACGATGGCAGAAAGTCGTGAACGACGGTGGTCTACATTTATTAAAACGATATGCTTGTTCCTGTTGATAATTTGAGCATGAAAACGAAAATTTCAGACTTCTTTAGTCTTTTTGCTTAACCCTATATGCTATGGAGAGATCAGATGATTTAGGAATAGGAAAAAAGATTTAAGAAAAAGTACTTACAGTACGAGTTGTCATTTCAGATTTATTATGAGTCTTCCCACGACTATGAGACATTCCATCTGGACAATCCAGGAAGGTATGTGTTGGCATTCGACCTATACCGAGTCGTTCCGTACAAACAGAACTACGATTTTTACACTTCTCATTTCTACAATGTACACTCATCGTTAACCATGTGTACTTTTATAGATATGATTTTCAGGGATGATTTCGAAAGAGGAGCCAGAGATCACTTCAAGCTATTTTTCAAACAAGATGACATCGTAAATATGGGACTGTTTTGGTGGCCCGGATTCAGTTTTAGTCAGTCGTGGTGTACGAAATGGGTAAATAGCCATTACGAGTCAGATAGAGATCAAGCATAAGAATTAACACTTTATAGGAGAGCACATGCCGATACATTTTAGGTTCTTTTATTGAATTCAGACACAGAGACTTGTTTTGAAGGAATCTTTAACAAGTGGATTCTTCACTATAAGTAAGCTTTTTTCTACATTGCTTTATTTTACGCAATAACAAATGTAACAAGAGATTTGATGAAGTTAGGATTCGATAGTAGTGGAGTAAAATTTGTAAGAGAAATAGCAAGGTGGTGACAATGTCATTCATTATAAGCGCGGTGCTAGTTCGATTCCGCGTAAGTCTAGTAAACCAATAGTCTTTTTTGGGGTTGGAAAATTGTTACCATGCTTGTCTGAAATCGGTTCACTCTTAACACTTCAAGTCTAAGCGCTCTAACCCGGTTGCTTGAGGACACCAAGGAGAATCAAGTGGGCCAATATTAATGACATTCATAGAAGCAACAACATTCCTTGTGCAACAGACGAATTCATACACTCACGTAACGTTTGAAGACCTTGGTGCATGATGGATCCGAGGAAACGAATTGAGTAAAAGAAGTACTAGAAGCCACGCAGTAGTGTGAAGGTGGCTCACTTAAGCACAAAAGCTAAAAACTATGGCTTCTTTCCAACCTTTTAATCGACTTCTTATAACTCGCTCGGGTAGAAACGTTTATCGCTCTCTGTTCAACCCTCTAGTAATCCATTCGATAGCTTAATTTCCACTATTTCGTGCTGTATTTGGATATTGAAAAAGCCTCTGCTGTAGCAATGAAAGTAAGATTACGTCTCTCTTTCGATCGCATCTTTTGCTTGGCTAGAACTTGTGGATGGTTTCCAAGCAGAATTTTAGTACTTAGTTGACAGCTTGAAAAACCATTATTCTGAAACTGCGATTAGTTTTTGGAAGGATCTTTATGACAAAAAAATATTACGCTTCTCACTTAGAGATATATGAACTAAAAACATAATCTTACAGAGAAAATCATGTTATACCAGAATGTTGAAGAATTTCAAAAATTCCCTCGAAACGGAAAAAATTCGAAATAATTGACAAAGATCACGCATACGAGGTGCTAGTTAAAGTTGCTGAGCGTAAAGCAATCAACGAGAACACGATATCTTTTCCCTGCTCCGAAAATTTCTTATTTCGCTATTGTAGGATAGACTTTGTTCTATCGTTCTATAGGCACTAGCTTCTATTTTTATCTCATATTTCCGCTAGAAATTGTGAAGAACCCGCATAACGTTCAAGCAACGGAATAACTACTTTGTTTGAGTGCGGATATAATCTTTTTAATGCTCTTGTATTGCTGCATGAAGACCTCTACCCAAACCCTAATCTTAGTTTCAAAACTGGAGATGCCGCTTATCGAATGACTATTGAAAGACTAGTGTATAGCCATTCACAGACCTTACAAGAGCAGACGAGGCAAACCAAATGTGAAACAAAATTTATCTTAGCTGCTATAACGAATTATGAACGACTATCTAAAAATCTAATTGTACTTTGAAGTTGAAGAGATTCAGGCTTTTGAATTATTTCTATATCTCTAAAGAAGGAGCTCTGTTATCAGTAA